TATTACATATTTTCTAATATTCAAATACTTCAATGAGTCACTGATTCGTTTAGAACGGTTATAAAAACTGAATAATTTGAAAAACTAAATCTAACTACTTATAATCATATAACTAGTCATAAACATTTCACTGGTTGAAATCATGAGTCAAGTGAGGTTAGACAACCATGGAAATCCTGGACGGCTGTTTCATCCTAGTATATGACTCCTCAACAGTGCGCATTCACGGTACCGCACCCCACGAGATTCGAACCCAGGACCTATCAGTCTCGCGCCAGGCGCTCAACCAACTAGACCATTGAGCCAGCATCCAATGCTGTTAATGTCTAACTTCAACCAATCCACGAAATTGAGCCACCGTATACCATTGTCTTCAGTGAACTGATATCTCACAACAGACCTAGTTGAACTTCACTGATAACGGCTTCTCACTAGAACTCAAGGACTATCTCTTGAAGTCAGTCACTAGTGAGCAGGTGATTATTATTATCAGAATGGGTTTTGTGGAGATTTTTAGAAATTTCACTGGTTGAAATCATGAGTCAATTGAAGCTAGACCACCATGGATAACCTGGAGTCACTGGACGGCCGTTTTGATCCTAGTATGGAACTCCTCATGATTTCAACCAGTGAAATTTCTAAAAATCTCCACAAAACCCATTCTGATAATCATAAACATTTATAAATTTATTACTAATGAGTACAATAGCTAATGATCCTATGTTTTTTTTCTATGTACCTCGTTTATCCATAAAATAATAAACAATGAAACAGAATTTTAATCAACATTTAGATTTATCCAATCTAGTGACAAATGCCAAAAAAAAAATTTAGACAAAAATAAGAATCAAAATAGAGAAGAAGAAAAAGAAAAAACAGCACAAATCAAGACATACAAGCGGACAGAAAAACTAGATGATGATATGCATCGAAAATGTTTATCTTTTTTTCTTTTCTTTTTTTAAAGAGGAAAAGAAAGTAATGATGAACATGAAGTATTTGTTATGATGAATAAAAAGATGAAGACACATAAATGTAGCGTAATAATTTCAACATATTCAATAATATTACATAAAATAAGACAAATATATATGAAAAATATCAGGAATGCTCTAAATTGTCATGTTATCATTAAATAAGATTAAAATCTATCCATATTGAAATAGAATATAAACATGGAAACCAATGATTTCAATTGAAAAGAGAAATCATATATGTGAAAATGAAAAACTTTGAATGTAGAGAAGTTACTATGTAAGATATGTGTTACTAAAGAATTCAAGCCCAAACTATTATTATTATTATTATTATTATTATTATTATTATTATTATTATTATTATTATTATTATTAAGTGTACATGTTAAAATACTAGAAAAATAATAATCACATTCAAATCTAAGACTAAATTACAGGAAATGAAGAAACAAAAGATAATCAACAAAATATTGTATCAATTATATATTTGTAAAAGACATACACACATAGACACAAAGTATAATAATCATTTGAAGCATACAGTAGGATAAAAAGAAGAAATCTGCTAGAATTTCACTTGTCAATGGCAATAAAAATATAATGTCACACATTATTGAAGATTAAAACAATTCATTAAGCATCAATCAGTCAGTCAGTAACAACGTAGAACTTCGTACGTACGTACGTACGTACATCAGTTCGAGTTGCCACACCACATTAGCATAAGCATAAGCATAGACGAAACTCTGCATAAAATGATATTTATAAATGATTAGTAGCTATGATCTATTGTGAAAGTTTAAGAAAACAATCATTAAAAAATAAACTAGGAAACAAAATAAGTCAATTTAATAGACAAACTAACAACATGAATAAAGATATACAACAATAAACGTTCATGGGAAAATGAAAAACAATACAATACAATAACAGAACTTTACACAGAAATCAATTTCATGATAACAGTAATAATATGACTAAAAATGCATCAATAATTAAACATGTTAATTCATTAGTTGATATTCCACAATTTTTGTTTCCTTTAAACGATCTATTCAGTGATTATTATTTCATCTTTTCTAATATTTGTTAAAGATAAACAAAGGACTTTTAAAAAATCAAACAGAAAAAGAACATAATGATAGTAGACAAATAGAAAATATAATTGAAGGGACAAATTATATTGTTCTTATAGAAAAAAAAATAAATATGAACCACAAAAAAATGAAAAAAGATCATCTTTTGAAATTGTTCAATTCTATTGAAGTTGATTATGTATATATATTGATGGTAGGAGAGAAGAAGTCGAATGAAGATAATTCAATCATTTATACTGAATTGTTTATGATGATGTAATCGAATGTTTCTTGTATAATATAAATTGGAATCTCTACATGAAATACTTTTTTGTTTGCTCATTCGAAATAACAACAATTTTAAATTATAAAACAATTAATTATTCACAATGGCAGATTGTGTGTCTGTATCGCTGTGAATAAATATGTAAAAGAAACAAATATTTTTTTGCTTTCTGAACACTTATCGATATAAATTTAAGCTTTAAGCATAGACGAAATAACTCATATAGAGTAGGAACTTATTTCGGAAGACCTAATGATGGAAGTCAAGCTAAAAAGTAAATAAATATATATTTTTTAAAACATTAGAACATTTTAAGTATCTTATAGTGTACTAAAATAAAGAAAAATATCGTCTCAAAAGCATATGATCTTGATCAGTCAGTCAGTCAGTAACAACGTAGAACTTCGTACGTACGTACGTACATCAGTTCGAGTTGCCATACCACATTAGCACAGAGATGCCGTGGTCGATTCAAATCCCGTAGTGGTAGAGGTAATAAGAGTATAAGCAGTAATCGGAAAGATTAGTGTTTGGAGATGTTACTTAAAGAGTATAATACAGTGAAATAAACTTGGGAAGAGAGAAAAAAAGAGACAAGGATGAATCAGGAGATCTTGACATTTGTTATTCATTATAAATAACTGACAATCAAAAATGTACGCAACTTCAATAGTTGATAATCACCAATGTAACACGCCTTAGTGTGTATATATAAAAAAAATATCTAGAAATATTCAATCTCACATCTTGTTATGTGATGTGTAGTTTTTTTCCGAAGAACACCTAACTTGCAGATCATACAATCATATACACTTCTCAGAATAACGAGGAAACTCATGTATATTTAAGAGATTTGTTTCAGTTGATCTTTTCTTAGAATTAAAATAAAATTTATAAGAATAAATTCACTTGGTATTGTTTATTTCAATCTTCCTATTGATGTTTAGGACTGCAATTGATCAGTCTGTTATTGGCATATGTGCATACTGTGTGTATTGCCTCGATATAACTTTAATTCACAAGTATTATTGCACAAGCAAGTGGCTATCAGGACTCAGTAGCTAAGTGGATAACGCGATGGCGTTTGAAGCGAACGGTACTGAGTTCGAGTCCCAGAGTGGACATCAACTCTGAGATCCAGGTACATTCAGCTGTCCGAAATAGGACGACACGCGCGTCCTGGATTCCACTGCTAGCCACTATCTGTCTTTGCCTGTATAAATATTTTCCAAAATAGGATGATTTTTAAAAAACTACTATTACAATTTCATTTCACTTTAATTTTACGTTATATCACTTTGAGTTATTCATTTGTTCAAGTAATATTATGCTATTTACATGCCAGAAAGACTACGATGACAAATCCTTTTTCTAAAACACCAATTCATTATGAACATCTTTTTGTTTCTTCTACTCATAGAATTACTTTCTACTACTCTTATATGTACTTGCTTTTATTTGAAACGAATTATCATTCTTTGAACGGTAATCTAACTAGTTTTCAATACGTTGTTTCTTGATTTACGGCAAATGCTGTTTGTTGTTATATACTAATTTGACAAATATATTGTCACTTTTAGTGTTTTTCAGGTGATGCAACTGAAACTTGGGGTTTTTAAATAGTGTATTTTTTTTCCTTTTTCATAAGAGTGATACACTTGCAGACTGATCTTGTATTTATTCTCTAGGAAAATATAGCATATTTCTAAAAAACAAAATGATTACAATTTATTAGACACGATATCACAAGGCACTTAGAAGTAATCAAACTATCTAAATGTCAACTACTGGTCCACTGCTTTCAACTACATTCTACTTGCTTCAATTTGATCAAATAAATGAAAGCAAATCTACAACACAAGAGCTCAGTTTATAGAAATATAAATGAAGGTATCTAAATTAGTGTTCTCAGAATTAGTGAGGAATCACGTTTAGCACACCTATATTTATCGTTACAGGTCTAATAAGTTTCAGAAATAGCAATTTTTTAGAAATACTCCCTACTAAATTAGAGTTTAACGAATTGAGCTTTCTTCTACATAATAAGTATTTGAAGGGGAAATTAAGAAAACACGTTGGAAGTGGATAGGACATACGTTGATGAAATAATCATCAAACTGCATTACGAGGCAAGAGCTGAATCGGAATCCTGAAGGGAAGGGGAAAAGAGGAAGGTCAACAAACGCAATGTGTCGAGAATTGGAAACAGACATGAAAGGATGAATAGCAACTGAGAAGGATTGCCCAGGACAGAGTTCGATGGAGAAGGCTGGTAGGTGGCCTATGATCCTTCACAAGGCGTAACAAGCGTAAGTAAGTAATAAATAATGCTTGAGCACATCCAGCTCCAAACAATGCACTACAAATAAGCTCTGATATATAATGCTCATAACACTTATGAAATTAAGAAAATTTGCATAAAACTACGATACAGATGACCATTATCCTATGAAATAAACTAACTGATCTCTTATTCACATCAAAGAATGATAAATTCAAAACTTAAAATCGTGATAAAAATTGGTACTTACCTGAACAAAATGATTGAGTGATTTTATTAAAACAAAATTCGATTGTCATTCAGCTGTTAATTGTTTATGTGCTAAACTGAAATGCATTCAAACATTGTTCCGCTTTTTCCAGTGACGTTATGTATATGTTCTAATGAATACTATTGAGATGAGAAGACTGTGATGATATGACTGAGAAACGACTATCTGTTACATTCACTAGAGAACAACTATTTCTGTCTTCTTTCTGTTTGATAGAATACTTAGAAGGCTGAGAAAAGTTTATAGTGAAATGTAATTTCAAAGGTCCACCACTTTCATTGGTTGAAACTAGTTGACCCTAGAAATAAAAAATAGGCTAGATTTCCTTAGTAGAAAGAAGGAACATAAATGAGTTATATATATATATATATATATATATATATATATATATATATATATATATATATATTGGTAAGAATGAATTTGACGATGATATTTCGGTAAATACACACCATTTATATTCGGTTTGGTTTCAGAGTGAATAGCTTCTATTTATCTGCCAATCACAAAAATGTGCCACTTTCATGAACATAACGTAAGAACTCAATGTTTCACTTATTGTACTCATTCCTTACTGTTCAATATGCACAGATTTATTGATTCCCAGTTTCGCTAGTACACTCCACTGGTTTATGTTCTCGCACTAATTGTGCTAACTTGTGTTTAAAAAACAAAGTTTTAAATTTTTTGATTTGTTTTGACTTTAGCGATACCACAATTCCGTGTTCGAGAGTTAAAGGACTCGTTTAGCAGAATATATATATACACTCAGTAAGTGATGTCTAGCATTTTTCCTTTCATTTGATGTGTTAATCCTCTATATAAAAATGTGGTTTTCACTTGGAAATTCATTTTAATTATGTGTTTTCTATGAACACGCTACCGTACCACATTTCGACTTGTCAGATGAAAGATGCAAATAAAGTTGAAGTTACGGCTTGCAATGAAATGTTCAGTAAAAACTATGTTCTTGTACACAGCATTCATCCACTAAATAAACAGAAAACCGCGAGATATTGCGCACATTTTGAACATTGGGAAGGAAGTGTGCTTGAAGTTTACACAGGTATAGCATCCCTATATGAAGACTGAACTTCCCACAAAACATGATGATATACAATGAATGATTGTGTAGAATATGTCTTAAAGTTCATCAAAACTATCATAACAAAATTTAATGAACGGCATAATGTTATCAAATTCACCTTGAGATGAAAGAAAGTTAGTAATCGTCATGCATAATAGTTACTTTCCCCTATATAAAAAGCTATGCAAAATGATAGCTAAATGAAAGTATATAAAACCTAGCTCTTAAAAATTGAATACCGCACACAAATTATGGATAACATTGTTAGGAAAAAAGAGTAAATTTAAAGAGAAAATAATGGTAATAATAAATAAAACAAATTATTAACAAGAACAGTGCATAATGAGAGAGACAGTTCAGTTAACAATACAAATGATATTTCAGAATTCCTCAAGCTAAAGAAATTACTCTCAAACGCATAAAGAATGTAAAAGAAAATTACAGCACAACCACTATTGGCATCTTTCATCAGCCATGTCTGATAACGTCTCACACCTATGTGTTTGGTGATATCTCAGATGCCAACCAAGGAGTCGTAATGAATCCAGAGATGTCAGTCATATATAAATTTCTTTTATATCACGGTCTCAAGCCATTAACGAAATACCACTCTGGGTTTTTTTTCAATTCAGTCCAAGTATTGGCAATTAGTACACAATGTGAAAGACCCTAAGATGACAATCGCAAAACATGTCCACGTCACTGAGGCTGTTGTTTCAAAATGATAACATCAATAAAGTTATTGTCATTGAGTTCGAACACGCAATGTCAAACCTAAGGATTACTGACACTTCTCCAACGATAAAAATAATAATAATATAAAGAATTTCAAAAAAAGTAAATTGATTAAAATAGAATATGATAGTTGGTTGAATAATCAACATGGAAATTATTTGTCTGGTACGATCATTTGAATCTAATTACTGAAATTTATCGTAGAACTGAAAAAAATTGAGTAAAATATGAAATTTTCAAAGAAATTATGGTAAAAACTTACTTTTCTTTGATGTACTCTTAAGTGTCTTGTAATCATATCACGTCGAGATGCAGAATAATAACATAATGAACATTGATACGGTCTTTGACCAGTATGTGTTCGTTGATGTGTAGATAAATGATCAGATCGACTAAATGCTTGACCACATATTATACATTCAAATGGTTTATGACCTGTATGCACATGAGCATGTCTTACAAGCATATCAGAACGAGTAAACTGACGAGAACATACCATGCATACATATAAACCATTTGAAGTTCTATGCTGAATAAGTGAACTATTAATATTACTACTTTTGTTAGTATCATTAGTAGTAGTAGAAGTAGTATTACTATGTTTATTAGAAGTAAGTGTTGGTACAGATGAAAATGTGTTAAATGTAGTACAATTATTAGTGTTATTCGACACAGTTTGTTTACAGCTTGATGAAGTTTCACATTGATAATTATCAACATCCATAAATTGTAGGTCGGAATAACTTTGAACAAGAGTATTATTATTATTATTATTATTATTATTATTATCATTATTAAACATAGAAATCCGATTAACATTTGTGGTATTTATTTGATTAGGAGTAATTGAGGTGTTTATAAAAGGTAAATGAGACTGATGTGTAATAGTTTGTTCATTTATTTTCGAATTAGTAGTAATAATAGTAGTAATAGGAGTGGTAGAAGTAATAATGGTAGCATCAAAACTTTTTCCTGGCATGACATGAGTCGGTGAAAATAATGATGAATGAAGAGGTGTAGTCGAAAATTTGTGATCATCTAGAATAAAGGGTATAACAACAAAGTAAACATAAATTAATATATAGGTAAATAAATCATCTACAGAGATTACGGTGGTCACGGATTGATGTTAACTTAGTATTCGGAAGTGATAAATTACTTAATCATCGTATGAAACTTGAATAGACTGAAACAGCTGTACTTTTAAACGGCTACTGCTTCTTTTTTTTAAATTTTTACTTACGAACTAAGTCAACTGAATGATTTACTGTTGAAGCTTATTGGCAAAAGTTAAAATAACATCTCTGAAAAGTTTAAATAGAATCATTTTCTTAATCTTTGAGAATCAGAATTGTTAGATCATTTGTTCTGTAGTTGATATGGATGATATAATGGCTTCATCGTGATTTTCAACATCTCAGTAGGATAGAGCATCCCATTAAATCACATAAATTGTGTCAGATGAAAACGTATGATAGTAATAATGGCAGCACACAAATGGAGGATTACAATTATAAGGGTGAGACTGTATATACATTTTTCATGCATTAAGTGATCACTGAGCAGTAACCTATAAAATCCTTATTTAGCCCATAGTGTACTAATATTACCGCTATTATTAACGATGTAGGTACTACCAACACTTATACTACTAAGATTACTACTACCCCCATATGTAATAATCCTTTTCTACGTTCTAAATACGTCTTTATAAACATGAATATACGGAGAGTAAAAAGGTGATATACCTATTGGATATCTATATTTGAATAAAGGACTTGAGGGATATGAAACAGATGTTTCAACTGATGTATGTTGTTGCTGTCTGTGAGCAGTGCATGTCGATGAAGTTAACGTCGATGATTCTGAACCAATTGACATCGTTGTATACGGTTGACTACATACCAACAACGAAGAATTAAACGTTGAATTTTGAATATTATGATATTTTACTGAACTATGTATTGAATGTAAAAAATCAGGAGAGAATACTGTAGTAGCAGTAGTATTAACAGTATCGTTATTATTTATGGAATGCTTTGACATTTGACTCATAGATGTCTCTGCCAATGAATGATATGATGATTTTTGTGAATGTTGTGATTTACCAGCATCCACTGAATTTTTCCCAATCACTCTCGGACACAATAACTTATCGTTTGAATTATGCATACCAAGTAAAGGAGTTTTTAATTGATTGTTTGAATTAATTTCCAATAACGATGATGTTGAGTTGTCCAAACATGTATACAACGAACTATTCTTCTCATCGTTTAAAATTTGCATTACAATCGGTCGAGGATCACTTCCCTTCATATCGTCTGAATAACAGTTATTGTGCAATAGTGATTGTAATTCATTCAAGAACTGTAAAATAAAATTAAACAATGATATGATATTGTCAAAATTTGTAGAAAAAGATAAAAAGGTAAAACGAAGCAAGTAATTGTCAACGTTTACAAAAGTTTACTTAGTTATGCATGAGAAGAATAGATGTGATAATTTGTTGTTCGTCATTTATTTAACAAGTACATTTTCGTATACTCGATTATACCTCCAGAGGATCAGCTCTATGGTGTATTCAACAGGAAATCAAACAAAATACTTCCGATCAAGTGAATATAAATCAACAGCAGTGAACCATACAAATGAAAAACTATCTACCATATCGCTTAACTTGACATATGTTAATAGGAAAGTTACAGAGAATGGAAGCACTCAATATGTTTTCAACAATGTCACTGTCGTCATCTACTTGATGGTGAAGATAATTTTAACACTTCAAAACCGCTCATGATAAACAACAACAAAGAAGTGGCTATGCTTCCGCGAGACCACCGCTACTTAAAGGTGGAAACCGAACCTACATATTCAAAGGGATACAGCTGTAAATTTCCTACTACTCTAGTGACTCATAATTTTCATCACTCAGTTACATAATATCTTCTCTCACGTACTCAGTGGAAATGTCTACTCTTTCATTCTTACTTCAGTTTTCAGTTTTGCCCAATTTACTTGGTTGGTCTATCCAATTTTATGGTTGACATTAATTTCCATTTTCTAAACATGTATTTGTAAAATCTCAGCGAATGAATTTGAAATAAATTCAACGTTTCACTGAGATCTTAGGAATACATTCTTCCTCCTTAATGTCTCGCACCAACTTGTCGCCAAAATACTGTAAAACTATTCATTCGAATTTAGATGAAATTTGTTATATTATCCTCCAAGAGTTTTAAAAGTTAGTAACATATAAATATCATTCCATTTCAACACTCTGTAATTCATCTATACTCGTCATTATTCTACAGATCTTCATTAAGATGATACAAAGTATGTACATTGGTTATAAATAATCATTACTATTGTTTGTTTGTTTTTATTTTAGGCAGCTGAACAAAAAGCCCTGAAGTACATGAACTCATTCCTCATGGTTTGTTATTTTTACTTCAGTCAAGATGGTAAAAAAAAAAGATTTACCAAATAGTTGTCGAAATTCTAATGACCAACTCAATGCCTATCTAGACTAACATTTATTAAAGTAATTGCGCTTTGTGATATATATTACCACAAATTATGTAGTCAAAAATGAAAACAAAAAGTAAAAAAGCAACTCATGTCTCACATTAGGATAAAAACATGGGGTTGAAATAGCTTGCTCATAATTTTCGTTATTAAAAGATAGTTTTGTTTCAGTATTTGAAGAATCGGGATTGTAAATTCTGTCATTGATGGCGCTGATAGGATTCTGTGGATTCAATGTATTACAATATCGGTTGTGATTGGAAGAAACGGTTGAATGAATCATGTTCGGTTCATCTTTATATTTATTAGCCAATAGTTCTCTGGTTAAAATATCACAGAGCAATTTTCTCAAGAGAGATTGGAAATTTCTGATTTGATTGTCCGCTGAATTCGTTTAAAAAAAATGCAAAACACTCAATTTATTAGTGATATGTTATGCACAACATAAGATTTATAAAATATTTACATAAACCCAAGAACCTTGAGAAAAAGGAGAGTACAAGTTACCTAAAAACTCATTTCCTAAATATACGTTCACATATTCGATTTTGAGACAAACTTTGAGCTAATGACACGGATTGTTTGCATAAACCAAGCAGTGGTTCAGTGTCTAAGGTAGTTGACTTTTTCCTCTTGATCTACTTCAGTCTAGGAAACTAGATTAATATAACTAGCTCTGATACTTTAAGTTTGGATTATACCTAAGCACCTGATGAATAAGTTGATTAATTATCTCTTTATTTATGACATGAAGTAGGTTAAAAAGGGATCGAATTTGTTACCTTTCAGTTGAACGTTGATTATTTTAACCACTGAGACATTGTTCCGCATAAGTAGTTCTTGTTATTTAACAAAACACTGTTTAGATACAGAAAAAGCCTTTCCCATCTTAAACCCAAATATACCACTATAACTAAACAACTATATAGAAATAGATGCACTGGATTTTGTTACAGATTGTGATGCAATCTAAAACTGTTGGATCAACATTTCTTCTAAATTTTAACTTACAAACTAACGTTATCGCTTAGAAACTTTTCAAATGTCATAAAGAAACTGAAACTTCGTCAAATTAAACCGCAGAAAACTTCTTGCATATGATTTTTTAATGTTCTGTAGATGAACACCCTTTTTCAACAGCTGATAACTTTACCGATTTCAACTATGTCAAGAAGTGCACATTATAATTAAAAAATCAACAGGGGTAAGACCGTATTAAACCGAAGGCCGCAAGCGAATTCATGAGTGGCCTTGAGATTGAGTACAGCTTTCGTATAAGAGCTCTAAAATGTTGCAAGGTGATGGAAATACGGAAGACTTCGAGTTTTAAAACCATCAAAGGACTTATAAGTGCTGAATATCGATAATTCAGACTAGATATTATAGTTCTGTAGTCATGATAAACACTAATTCATAGCTGTACTTCAAAACATAAATTCTAAACGTAAAACTTGTAAATCCTAGCTCCTAATTTTACAACTTATGGACCGTTGCTCTTAGCCCTAATACTCTTAGCATTAACACTCCTAACGCAAACATATTGACATTAACAGTTTATTGCGCAAAGAAAACACCACAATGAAAATCGTGAATTTTTGCAGCAAGCTGTCCATAACAACGTTTTGAATTCGTGCAAGGGTCGGTTTAATTTTGATTGGTTGTTCAAGAGCGCCGGTATATTATAGTCTTACCCTAATAGGATAAAACGTATTTCAGTTCTAAACAGATCTGACAAATATTAATAACGTTATACAGTCATACTGAATAGGTTGAAACAAAATTAACAAATAACAAGTATAATACATGAATTAGATTTCTTTCCATTGATCAACTCTTCAGGTATTGTACTTTTAGTTTCCAAGTGATAATTCGTATCTGTATTTAACGGCACCTTCATAGTTTTTTCACTGCTGTAATCTGTTTGTGTTTCTTTCAATAATGGGACATGTACCTAAAACATAATAGAAAAGCACTTATAACTATGTACAACGTAATAGCAGAGAAATAATGAGAAATAAAATGAATTATTCAACTTACTACTAAGTCGAAGAATTAATAAAAATAACAAACAGGAACAATGAAAGAGCATTCACCAAAATTCAATACTAATCGAACAAATAATGAATACTATGAAACATTGAACATGAAGTACACATTCTGATACGAAAGACCTTAGAACAAAATACACCGTAACTGCTTTAAACAAAACTATTGAAAACATCACAGCTAAAATAAATGAACAGGATATATAGCTAACAAGCACAACTCCTATGAATGTATATGAACATTATTTATTCACGGAAAAAAAAGATCCATTATTTTGTAGCATTATTAATAGATCAACAAACACGAAAAAGAAATCATAACCGATCGCATTATTATCTAACACTTGAAATTTTGTAACATATTTTAAATTGGTTAATGAAAACAAAAACTAAGACCAGTTTGTGGTTTGAAATCTATGAAAACTTTCTAATCTCCAAAAAGCCCTACATTGATACTAATCACGTGCTCACAAGTGATTAACTTCTAGATGATATCCCTGGAGTTATAGTGAGAAGCAGTGGCTAGTAGAGTCCAACCATATTGTGTGTGAGAGTTATCCACTGAAGATAATGGAAAATGGTCGCTTAATATCGTGGACTGAAGTTAGACAAGAAAACCATTGGATCTGACACCGTAGTTTAAAGTTTGAAATTTCTTATGCGACATCGAAGGCCTTAAGTTTAATTCCGAGATGCATGGTCGTGTATGCGCACTGCTAAAGTACAATATTAAGATGAAACAGTAATCCAATGCATTCAGGTTTTCGACGGTGGTATAGCTAAGATCAATTTGTGATTTAGAATCTATGAAGACTTAATCATCAAAAAAGTACAGTATTAAAGAGTAAAAAATAACACGAAATCCACTAGACATATACATGAGTAGTGGAAAACGAAATTCGATAGGAAAATCTAAAGAAAAATACAGACAAATAACATATTTTGAGTTCAAACAAGCTCATAAAATACGTTATTGCGAAACTATCATCTTGAACTACAAATTTTGGTTTCAGATTTGATTAGTTCTTTAGCTCTGTGATAGTTGTAAGTAACAATAAGACACAAATCAAGAAAAGAAGATGATTTAGTCAAATCAAATCATACTTAAAACTGTGATCATTCGTAACCTGCTTGTTACTGAAACAATTTATTGATTAGAGTATGAAAGTAATAATACAAAAATAAAAGCATTGATTGTATAATGAATGATAAAATAGTTGTAGAAGTTGAAAAATAAACAAACTATCATCAATTAAACAAGAATTATTAATTTCATTGAACTCATGAATCGATCAATGTCAGACCACCATTGAACGGCTGTTTGTCCTGGCAAGTGACTCCTCAGCACTGCGATTCCGCATGCAAGATTAGAACCCAGAACCCTCGATCTCGTGCGCAAACGCTCAACCTCGAGAACAATGAGCCGGCACCCAATAGTGTCAGTGTCTAACTTCAAAAAATCCACCATGTCGCGCGACCATGTTCTATTGTCTTCGGAGGGTAAGTGTCTCATACCCTACACGAAATGCTCTCACATGGCCACGCGTATACAGACACTGCCAGAAAAGTCCTACTCACTACCTTCTCGCGACAGTGTTGTTCACGAAATTCAAAGGACGAAAAGCGAATGTCCGACGCTTTAACCGGGTTGGTGGTGGGTATGGAGGATCGACCTAGGGGAGTTGGAAAACCCTGATTCAAAACCAATGGTGCACATGGGCTCCAGGATCCTGAAAGAACAAATGGCGTATGAACCAATTATTGGTCACCGGCTACCATGGGACCGCATCTCCTGACGTTATTCCACTGCTTTGTGGATTAGATCTTTAGGTCGAAGGCTCCGAGTGTGACCTCCTAAGGAAACCAACTGGTTCGGTTTGGGTAGTATCATAGCCTACACACAAATCAAATGACTTGTGTGGTGTATATGCGTTCGATCCCCCTTTGTGTCAATATTTGTATGTTCAAATAAATAAATAAACAAATAAAGATTTATTTACTTCTTATATTCATCCAGATTTTGTAACTTAAATTTTACTGCACGAATACTTTCTTTTCTCTGCAATCATGTCGTCTAATGCTTGCTTACTAACACGGATGCTGTTACTAATTCTACTACTCTGGTATTTATCTTGATAATTTCGTCTCATTGTGTTGACATAATGTGACAACTCGAACTAATGAATACATGTACTAGGTTCTACGTTGCTTATGACTGATTGGGAGATTGAAACATTCTCAAAATTTCAATTATCTCTTTCAGATTTCATTGTTTTATAATTTTTTTAATCGTCATGTGATCAATTTGAAACTGTACTCAAGTGTAAAGATTAATTACCGGATTTACTAAATAGTCCTATTAACACCTTGTTTCACTAGTTGTACTAATAAATTACCATGGTAAGTTAATAACTGAAATTCGACGTTTATGATTAAAATATTATTTTAAAACCAATTCTCATTGAGATTTCTATAAACTTACTCATTTATCGCATGGATCTTTTAGATTTTCTTCACTAATCAGACAATTTTTTTATCACTAATTAACTGTTGGAAAGGATAGAAAGTTGACTAACATTTGATAGTTCTATATTGATTAGATACTGACATCACTGCTAAATATCGTTACATGCCGATCTATCAAACATATTATTTTGTCTGTTTTTTCAAGTTGAAAGTTTTTGCATAAAAATACATTCATTTTTGTATGAGTTGTTCGAACTCATCTATTGTTTTTTATTATGATGGGATAGTGTAACTCCCAACAAGTTGTAACAACTAGTATTGTTGGACAGATCAATTATTCTAATCATTCCATTTATTTTGTCAACCAAATATGACTTTGTCCAGCACTCACGTGTGTACTTTGGAAATGTTTTATACTTGTGCATAAGATAGCAAATATAGATAAAATTATATTATGCCGACGGCCTTGAGTTGATGAGTTAGAATTAAGATAATGACTTGAGTATTTTGCGCGAAGTCTGAAATCTAGTAGAAGATCATGTGTATGTCATTATCAACCAGGTGAAAATTGGCACTGTTTGGTTTTTAAAATATTTAAAACAAATGAAAATATTTACCAAGCAACCGAAAGGTGAGTTTTAGACGGTGGCTAGGTTAAGTTACAAAACATACCTGCTCTCAAGGCCGATTGTGTTTTAAAGAACGTGATTTCGTTTATTGTGTTATTAAGTGCTCAGTGAAGTTTGATTACATTCTCAGTTTTCTACTCTTACTCAAAATCTCAATACTAAGTTTCTCAGTTTTGTAAACAGAAAGGTAAGAAGGCAATAGATTATAGATTATGTCAGTTCGTGATGAAAATTGTGACCTTTATTAGTAAACCTACCTCATAATTAACCCTAATCCTTATGCATTATAACTGATGTCAGTTGATGGAAACTCTGTGTGATAATAACCCTAATCCACAACATTAGTCCGACTATTCATATGTATGTCTATAAGTAAACTCGCCTTTCTTTACTAAAAGGAATAATTTGACTTGTGAGAGTTAATTATTACAATCAAAGTTGTTATTTCACTACTTTCTATTGTTAATTGTTTCATACATAAGCAGCATTTCCTGATAGGCTGCCCAAGATCGTCATTATATTATACTTCTACCCACGTATGTACCTATCCATTTCCGGTATTTCTTACATGACTATTAAGAACTGAGTTGTCTCTGGGTTGATGTGTTATTAAACTACAATACTTTATGTAATCTCTGCAGCTTTTGCTTTTTGTCTATCGTTCGATATAATTAACATGTCTGAAATATACGTATCCTAAATACAATTCATATTCGACTTTTGATACCGCTGCTTTAAACATATTAGGCCGACGGAACATATGCCAAGTAAGTAGGAAATAGATATCATTAAAATCATTACCATTTAATAATTACAGAGTCAACGATAGGCGCTAAAGAGCTAATAAATTTTAGTCTCTTGAATAGTTGACTATTTTTTAGTTACATTGTAACATATTCACAGCATCAATTTACTAATATTTAAATTAAGGTCTATAGTAAAATACGCTTGTGATATAACATAAATACATAACAGACAGCCACAGGAAGGCAGGGAGCATTGAACAAATGTTCTAATTTAGTACTCAGCTCATCAGAAATGCATAACTATGATATGACAAGGACTGGCTTTAATAATTTTCTGGATAAAGTCAATCTGTGACATAAACTACTATTTTCATACTGAACAATAGTTGAAAACATCATTTGGTGAAAAAAAAATTCATTTATTTCAAAACGATGAGCAAATAAATATACAGAAAATATCTTTCCCCACCTTCGTTTGATGTATGAATCGCTTCTTGTAATAAAAAAACATGTATTTTGTTACTTAATCATTACCATTACTTATCATTACCACAATGAGACAAAAATTATTTTTCCACCGTAAAGCAATAAATAAACATTAGGAAACGATAATCAGATTATCGTTTAAACAGGGACAATTTAAAGATATAGTGAACAAGAAAGTTGATTTAATTAATATCACCATAATTAAACCACTAATGTGCATAGGTCACACGTTTCTCTACAAAGCATGTGATAGGTCCAGCCTAACCTCATGCATCACTAACTAAGATTCTAAACTATACAATTTCAGTTTGAGAAGGAAATTTGATTATCTTTGAGGTGTAGATTCCCAAAAGTTGATAAGTGTAAAAACTTTTAGGTTTATGACTGAACGAAATCTAACTGTTTCAAAAACTAGATTAATTTTTTATGAAAAATGTTTTAAAGAAAATAGATCAGTAATAGATCAATAATATTTACCATCTTAGTAAGTGGACTGATTGATTCACAGATTGTACCACAATGTGACATTGATTGACTCAACAAGTATCGATCAATTAATATTTTTTTATAATTTCCAGGAGATGTTACACCACCATTAAACATCGCCGGCGTCGAATTAGATACCTTACAAAACTCAGCATCTGCATTCGATCGACTAGTAACTGAGGTGTTTGTAGACGGTGACTGATAGCTTCGATTATTATTACTATTATCATTATTATCACTATTAGTATAAGAAGCGTCAATGGTAGAAGAAGTAGTAATCGAAGTATCACCACTATAATTTGTAAGTTCATTAATTGCTAACATGGAATTTGTCTTCGGAATACCGTCCACAGTTTGATTAAGGTTAATAATTGCATTTTGGAAATAATTCGTATTTGGAACGAAATCGTCATCTAAAGAACATAAGAAGAAAGGCAAATGCAATTACGAAAAAACACATTAATAGATTTATTTAGACCAAAATATCTTATAGCCATTGGATGTAAAGTATTTTATATTAACCCATAAAGAACATACAAACATTATGTTGTCCTTAACTCTCAAAATTTGTTTCTAAGATGGCATTATAGCCTAGAGCTCTTCTCGGGTTACTGTCAGTCCCAAGTCCAGGTAAAGAAGGAGGGTCGTGGATACGGTCAGTAACCATATCTTGTAGAAAACAATCATACTAAAAACAAACGCTAACCAAATTAAATAAATTAAACCATTCAAACTCTGTACTCCGAGTTAAGAGATCATCATTCTGAAGAATTAACACGTCTCATGGTGAAAGCCGAGATTTTTCATGAGTTACAAAGCCGATGCCACTCCTAATAACCAGAGCAACAATTAATATAAGTACATAGAATGTCTAGATAATGTGGGAGACAGGGAGAGCCAACCAAATAACTGCGAAATTGAGGAGATACAACTTTACAGTACTCGAAATCAGCGAAACCCATTAAACCCAAGCTGGACAGAAAGGATTACCTTCTGGAGAGATGCTATTGTATTCAGGTCACGAAGAAGAAAACGTCTCGTACACACAAAGAGTTACACTGATGCTGTCCAAAGAAGCACGAAATGCACTTATAGGATGGGAATCTCATAGATGCAGGATCATCAAAGCATCCTTCAAAACGAAGAAGGAGGGAATCGCAATGTATGTTATCTAATGTTATGCACTCACCAATGATAGCATTGATGACGATAAAGATCAGTTTTATGAGAGGTTGTAATCGGTCATAGCGAAGTGCTAAATAAAGGACCTCACCATCCTGATGGGAGATCTAAACTTCAAAGTCGAAATGGACAACACCAGGTATCAAGATATCATGGGACAATATAGAGTGACTGAGAGAAAGGAACAAGAATGGTGACAAATTTGCAAACTTATGTGCACTCAACAAAATGGTTAAAGGTGGTATAATATTCCCACACAAACGCATACACAAAGCTACATGGGTCTCATCAGATCACACTACACAGAACCAGACCGATCATATTTGCATCAATAAAAAATTCAGATCGATGGAAGACGTGAGAACCAGAAGAGGAGTTGATATATTTTAAGATCAACACTAGTTGGTGGTTTTCAAGATGAAACTGAAGCTAAAGTAGCATTGAACAACTGGGGATACAGCATTACAAAAGTTCAATACAGCCTTCCTTCGACATACTGACAAACTCAACGGATTCGAGATAGATCTCAACGACAGGTCACAAGCCTTACAAGACGTACTTAAAGACGAGGAAACTATTATGGAGGACAATTGAAAAAGGATCAAGGAAGCACAAACTTCAACGTGTCAGGAGGTTCTGGGACATGAAAGCAATCGCAAACATGCTCCACATTTTATTTTGGAAGATTTGGGAGGAAGAACAAGAGCCAATAGACTGAAAAAAGAATATATCATCAAGATACCAAACAAATATATCAGCGTATGTGAAAACTATAGAGGCATAAGATTTCTATCGGTGTCAGGAAAAGTTTTTAACAGAGTGTTGCTGAACCGGATGAAAGGTTCAGTAGACGTCCAGCTTTCAGACCAACAGACCAGATTCCATAAGGACCGGTCGTGCACACACCAAATTGCGACACTATGGATCATCGTTGAACGATTATTTCAATGCAACTCGCAACTTTATTGACTATGAGGCGTTTGACATTGTGAATAGGAGGATCTTGTGGAACCTTCTTCGACACTATGGTGTACCTGAAAAGATAGTCACATCATCCGGAATTCATACGACGGACTACACTGCAAAGCCGCGTAAGGAGAACAGTTGAAAGATGCGTCCCAATGGAAAACTGGTATTAGACAAGGCTGTTTACCACCACCCTTCCTCCATGTTCTGGTGGTCGATAGGATTATGAAAACCTTATCTGAGGGGAAGCATGGAATACAATGGGCAGCGGCAATGCAACTAGACGATATGGTCTTCGCAGATGACCTAGCCCTTCTATCCCATACACACGAGCAAATGCGGATGAAGACAGCCTGTGCAGCAGAAACGTCTGAAGGAGTCAACATACACAAGCAAAAATCAAGATCCCCAAATACAACACGGAGAGGATATTAGGAAAAGACTCTGGAGGTGGAGTGGACATACATCGTGAAAATCATCGAACTGCATCACGAAACAAGGGCTAACTTGGAATCCTGAAGGTAAAGGGAGAAGAGCAAGACCGAGGAACGTACTGCGTCGAGAATTGGAAGCATACATCGAAAGAATAAATGGCAACTGGAAAGGATACTGAGTTAATAGGATGCTCACAAACAATGTAGACTCTGGTATATATATCCGGTGTTGTGCATTTCGACTTTGAAGTTTAGGTCTCTCATCAGGATGGTGAGGTCCTTTATTTAGCACTTCGCTATGACCGATTACAACCTCTCATAAAACTGATCTTTATCGTCATCAATGCTATCATTGGTGAGTGCATAACATTAGATAACATACATTGCGATTCCCTCCTTCTTCGTTTTGAAGGATGTTTTGATGATCCTGCAACTATGAGATTCCCATCCTATAAGTGCATTTCGTGCTTCTTTGGACAGCATCAGTGTAACTCTTTGTGTGTACGAGACGTTTTCTTCTTCGTGACCTGAATACAATAGCATCTCTCCAGAAGGTAATCCTTTCTGTCCAGCTTGGGTCTAATGGGTTTCGCTGATTTCGAGTACTGTAAAGTTGTATCTTCTGATTTCCACAGCCACTAATTTATGATCCCCAACCACTATGCAAACAATGAAGACAAACACTGAGTACGAAGATTTATGTCAAAGGTCAATTAGTGATCTTTACAACTCAGACGTGTATAAATATTCTAATAATGCCCAAACGGAGACATATGGTCAGTGACTCTGATTAGATGAATCATTGTCTTAATTTCAATGGATCACTCATATTTATCTTTAACATTCTATATAGCTTTATGAAAGTGACCACTGCGGTGTTTGTTACCCCATACATTTACACTTCACTATATGCTTGCTATAATATGCATAAAATCAAACTATTTTAGATACTGTGATGAGGATCGCCATTATAAGATTATGTAAGTAAACTGAATGAGTAGTCGAAAATGTTAATTTGTTCATGTTGCATAAAATATTGATTAAGTTTTACACTTACGTAATGGTTTTTGTCGTCGTTGTTGTTGTTGACACTGTTGTCCTTCAAGTCGATCTGTCTCCAACTTCATACATTGACGCCTCCTCCATCGTCTCATATATAATGATGATGTTTTTAAGGCATTAGAATTCAGACAATTCGGTAGTAGAGTTGTGCACTTTATTCATGAATTGTATTGTCGATTATTAAATAAAACAGTAATTTTAAAAACAAAACACACAGAATAATACTCAGCAAAATAGACATTGACCTTTCGCTTCATGATAATATAGTGATTTATGGGGAAAAAGATTTGTGCGAAAAACAATACTAATTAATTTGATAGATAGATACCCAAGACAATTTTTCCTTAACTACAATGACTATTGAAACCTATCAACTAATGTTGGGTGATTTGGAGTGATTTGTAGAGAACTTTGAGCCTAGATTTTGTGCTAGTTAGGACTTAGTTCTATGGTCACCTGCTGACTGTTTCCAACCATCTAACACTGAAACATAAAGCACGAAAAATAGGAAAGATTCATGGACAAGAGTTTAAGGATTGTACATGAACTGTCTAAGCCAGATCCGTGAAGATACGACGTTAAAGGTGAACAGAACCCCATAGACTATGCTCCTCGAAAACGATCTCTAGATAACGAAATAAAAATCAATGGATCGAGTGGTTAAAATGACCAAAACTCCTATGGGGAAACGAGGATAAGTTTCTAAGCTTCGAATAAGGTGAGAATATTGTTGTAGAGCATGTCAGAAGATAAATAAATACAATATTTAGCACGATTATGGATGGGTCACAAACTTCTGAAAAGTCACAAACTACGATTAAAACAGCTGTTACCTGGTTCCTAACAGCTCTTTACTAGACGTCAGTTCAGGAAAAAGACTTACATCAAACTGAACAATTTCCGTGTACGTTTTAATTATCGGATGTTCGATATTTTTGTTATTGAAAAATATCAGAACCGGTGGACTTTTGTATGAGATTCTATGTCATTTAATCTGTTTACTAATGAATATCTTTTCAGGTAAAATTTCAAAATCGAGACAACCAAGCCCTAGACTATTAACCAAAATACATAAACTAATGAGTGAAATATGAATTAATCTGTAAACAATGCTGAATTAGATAACCATACTATGCAGAGGGTTTCGGTCACTTCTTAATAAGAATATACGTGACTTTATTATACAAAGGAAAATATGATGGCTTTATATATTCAACAAAAGCTAAATTCTTTTGTATGGTCATATTTCATTTAAAAAACAATTACCAATGAGCTTCACATTACGTTGTACAAACTATAATCCCAGATTTTAGGTTTCATGTATCATGGTCGTACATGTTTATATCAAGGAGAGAAAATATGGTGGATTATGAAAAGTCAAGTGAACATATCACGTGTTAATTTCAAGGACAAAAAAATGATCAACCATAGTCGTTATTCCTATATTTTAAAATCTTCCAGAACTTGAAAGTTGAGTGCAACTATATAATCGATTACTCGAATTTTCGTTTGACATGACAACCGATTTAAGAACCTTGAACAGATGGGACTATGGTCCGAATTGCCAAAACACATCAGCATAGAGAAATAATGTAACAATAACAATACTAAAATAAACAATAAGATAATCGAAATAATAGTAGTATCTGTGGTAGAAATAACTGGTTTTGGTTGAAGAGGATATCGTCTAAACTAAAACCAGAGGGCTTAAAGTTAAAATTAAAGACAAGTAAAACGATGAACCCTCAACTAACCAGCTACCTGTCTAATATAATATTGTACTAAAACTTAAAAAATACATATAAATTTAAGATAAAAAGTTTAATTAATAGAAGAATGTTTGTATTTTCCACACAAAAAAACAATAAAGTTAACAATGAACATACCTGAAAGTTACTTGATGCAGAATTCATGTTTAGATTTGTTGAATAAATTAACCGCTATAATCCAAATCCATCCATTATATTGGTTGAATATTTAGGCAAATGTCCCAAAAAAACAGATCAATTTACCTATTTATCGACGAAACCAATCAGACAATAAGCTAGATATATAAATAAAACAGGATGAATAAAAAAAGTCAAAGTGATTGTGAAGAATAATTTATCAACAAATTTTAAAAATTAGAATGAGTAACACTGATATTTCGTATACATTTTATTCGTAAGGGTTTAGATTTGTCCGTTTTTTATGTTAAGTACTATGCAACTGATCAGTCTATATTAGTAGATGTACATCATCAGCGGATTGTCTGGATACTGCCATCAAATAACATGTATATTTAAACAAAGTTTTGATAGTGGATAGTAGTGGAATTTAGAATGTGAGTTACGTGCTATTTTGAACTCTTCGGTTAGATGTTTTTGCAAATTGCATGAATTTCGTAGAAATGTTTCTGAAACATATGCGGTGAGACTTTATGAATGACTAACTTTTTATGCATTTAAGACCACTTGTCATTATTATAAAACTAGGCAGTGATTTAAGCAAGATTAATTTGAAAATGTATTAGTCAAAAAGTATTAAAAAAACACTTTCTTTAAACGTTTATCAAATACTTCGCATTTATCTGATGCTTTTGTTTAAAAAGACATTTACATACTCTAAGTTGATCAAATAAATGTAGAAAATGAACTAAGAAAATTCTTTAATTCGGAATTAAATGAATGGTCATTTATTGGGATATCTAGTATAACTTTGATTGTTCGATAATAAGTCAAGTGAAAAAACCAAACCATATCCCACGTGAATTAAAATTAATAGTCTCGAAATGATTATATAGAGTTGACTGTAATGAGAAGCAATCAGTAACCTGCTTTTTTTGTTTATTTACCAATTGAGTAAGACAGTTAAAGGTTGAAAACTCATCAGTAATCAATCTTTCTATTTAGGCTAATAGCAAATCTAATGAGCCTGTTTGAATAGTGTAAGTTTGAACCGATTTAAAACTTAAGTTTCATGTTTACTTAAATTAGTATGTATTTCTAATAATAGCAGTGCTAATATCAGAATACTGATGAAATATTTCGATCAAAACGCTACAATAATCTGATTTCAATGTATTCTTTAGAATAATTTTGCGGTATAAATAATTCAATTCGTCCTCTATTAACAGACACTATATTGTTCTAAACAAAAAAGAATTTTAGAAAATAGAATATTTTCACTAAAACACTAATGACATTAAAAACCAAACTACTGTAAAGTATAATGAATGTTGCTACAGCGTAAGAAAGGAATATTTTAGGTAGATTATCATCAACTACCCTGCACTGTCATCTAAATAAACATTATATTCTACATATATGAAATGATTGTAGTTAAAACAAATGAAAAGACTAGAAAGCTGAAATTAGCTTATAAAGTCATTGACTTTACTAAATAAAGTGGTCATTATAAACTCTGTGAAATAATAATTCTAACATTTAAATAAATAGTTAGCAACACTATGGTTAATTTAATAGCTAGATATAATAATCTATTTTACTTTAAATGTTTTTTTCGTCCTTATTTCCATCTTTAGTAATATATAATGTCAACTTTTGTATTGATAAGTGATATTACCATTTAAACTAGAGCAAATTTACAAATCTATATTGTTTACTGTTAATTTTTCAAAACAATATTGTTAAACTTCGTTAAGCAACAACAGTGTAAATTGAGTCCATGGACAAACATACCCATTCATCTAATTATTAGTCTGGACAACAATGTACACGTGTTTGTGTGTTATTTTCATAATTAATCCCATGTCTTATTAACAAGCTCGCGACAAAAATCACAAAATAAGCTTTACATTTTCCAGTTGTTGGTCTTAAACAGTGAATAAAAAAGTAATTGATATAGTAAAATAAATTTATTCATTTGAACATATAAACATTGGTGCAAGGGGCACCAAATACATATGCGCCACACAATAACAAAGAGACTGTAAGGTGATAGAGAAAGGAAGATGAGTATAATAAAATAGAGCAAAACGGAATAGAAATTAGTGCACTCCAGTGAAGTAATGATAATAATAATAGTGGTTGGAGACAGCTCAGTTAGCAAAAATACAACCACAAAGAGTTCTTTCAATCAAAGAAGAAACGTTCATTCTTATGAAGAAAGTAAAAGAATGTCACGGCAGGATCGCTCCTACATTATATTCTGAGTCATGTCTGATAACGTCTCTAGCCACTCTATTGGATCACCTCCAGGGCCCCAACCAGAGAGTCGTGAGGGACTAACAGAAACCAGTTCTGTGCAGTTTTCTATCATAATACGACACTATGTCATACACTTACCATCTCTCCGCATTTTCCAACCAGTCCCAGAGTCGGAAAATAATGGAATTCTCTACGTAGACATTCGTAAGACATGTCCAAGCCACCGAAGACGATGTTTCACGAAAGTGACAACAATTGAATCATCATCGCTGTGTCCGAGCACACGATGAAGAACCTCTGCATTACTAAAATAGTGTTGCTACTGGATGTTAGCAGTCCTATGGAGACGACGGTAATCAAACTCAGAGAGTTGTCTAAAATCTTCAACTCGAAGAGTTCAGGTCGCACAGTAGGGAATATCATCCACATACTCATGGTTAAAAAATCTTTCTCCAGGCAACAGATCCACACCACCATTACCTAAATCTATCAGAGCTGTTTGCAGAACGTCCTCGATAGAGAAGATCAAGAGAAGTGGTGAGATTGGGTAACCCTTCCTAACCCTACTGCTTGAACGGAACAATGGAGAGAAGTGGTTGTGTGTTGTCACTTCGCCTGAGGTGTTAATATATAGGGCTTTCAACGTGTTAATAAACTTCTCAGACACACCATTCTTCACTAGAGAACAGCCATGTCCAACGAACCGAGGGCGGCCCATGATGTCAAAAAACACTAAAATTGTTGGCCTGTAATAAGTATGACGGTGTTCTAACATTTGACGGAGGGTGAAGATATGATCAATGCATCCTCGACCAGAACGAAAACCAGTCTGCTCCTCGCGAGTCAATTTTTCTTGGGTTTTGAACAACCTACGAAGTATGACGGAAGCCAATAGTTTGGACGCAATCGGAAGTACACTTATCCAACGATAGTTGTTACAGAAACGACGTGAACCCTTTTAAAAAATAGGGACAGTTATAAACTCATTGCATGATCTTGGAACATTAACCGCCAAACCTTTGTTAAAAACGCAGTCAGTCCCTTAACAAAAAGATTGCCACCATCTTTAAAAATGGCTGGAGGTAAGTCATCTCGGCTCGATGATTTGTAGAGCTTCAAGACTTGGAGTTCCCTGAGGAATCCCACCTCGTTAAGTAGATCAGTCGTCACAGGCTATGGAAGACAGAATAGCCTGATCGATTTCGCCTGGGCATCAAGCCAATTATAGTGTTCATCGAAAAATCCCTCCGATTGTCCAAGACGTCGATAGATGTTATTGATTGGCATCCCGTCACCTTCACAGGTTCTCACTCATACCAGACTTCTCGCTGCCAGTGACTCGAGTCGAGAGAGTTGTCGACAGCTTCAAGAAGCAGACATCGCTTACGAGTCGTTGTCATGTTCCAACCACTAGGCTTCTCGGTCTTTAGGCAAGCCTTGAACATCTCCACTACCTAACAATTTTCGCTGATGGTCAAACTTGCGGTCACTCGAAGTAGACCAATGTACTTCAACGAGATGTAAGGAACCTGTAGAAACCCAGTGCGTATAAGTGGAACATTTTCGCAAAGCAGCAGGCGAATTTACTCGCCGTTTCCATGGCGTCATATAAATTCAGCCAATCCTCATCTATACTTTACAGTTGGTTGGTAGCTAGCCTAGCTTGGTTTGATATTTAGTCGCAACAGAAACTGCAACCAATTTTCTGACATTGGTCCGTTTAAAGAAATGAATTTGTCAGCCAGTGAAACATAAGATTAGTGCCAAAACGGCATGGTCAGAATCTAGATAGATACCCAATATGGAGCGGCAGTATTGTACACAACCACGCCAGTGGTAGATGATTGTAATGTGATTAATCTGAGTTCAGGTTTGAGATGCGGAAAAAGGACGTCACGTGGCACATTGGCGATGACTGTGCCGGGAGTTAGCGCTAGTCAGAAATAGGTTGTGGTGCACAGTTGCAGTAGACGGACTCCGTCATCTGTCCTGCGACCAACAAGTCCCCATCGTCCACCTAAACGACTCTCTTCTGTGCCTAGACGCCCGATCTAAGCATTCAAGTCTCCGGCTAGTACTATAATATCTGTCAAACACACTTTCTGTAGGAGAAGCGTTAAATCAATCCCTGACCGTATCCAAGCTGTAATCTGTCGGAAAGTAGACGGAGATGTAAGGACATTGTTTTTCACATAGATTTCTTCAAGCTTTGCAACCTAACAGCACACAGCCGACTGTTAGTGGGGATCTAACAGATTAGTGTTGCTTCAGCTCTAGCTCTTATTTATTATTTTAACACATAGATATTCGTACAAGGGGCACCAAATACATATGCGCCACACAAATTTCATTTGATGTGCGAGGGCTGTGTTATCGCCCGGGTGCCCAAACCGAAGCAGGTGGTTTTCTTAGGGGGTCACACTCGGAGCTCTTGACCTAAAGGTCTGATCCACTAGGTAGTGGAACAACGTAAGGAGATGCAGTCTCATGGTAGCTGGTGACTAATAATTGGTCCATACGCCATTTGTTCCCTTAGGGTACTGGAGCCCATGTGCACCATTGATTTGAAGTCAGGATTTTCCAACTCCCCTAGGTGGACTCTCCATGTCCACCAACCCGGTTAAAGCGACGGACACTCGCTTTTCGTCCTTTGAATTTCGTAAACAACACCCCCGCCACGAGAAGGCAATGAGTAGGACTTCCCTGACAGAGACTATATACGCGTGGCCATGTGAGAGCATTTCAAGAGGGAGAGTGGACTGTCC